ATGTCAATTATGTTGCCTGGATACGAAATTCACCAAAGCGGTGATACTTTCGGACTCACAGTCGGTAATAGACTCTATTGGAAACAGAGAGCCACCCAAAACAGCTGAGATAAAGGAATGTAGAAAACTCTATGAGCTGCTGAGAGAGAAAAACAAAACAGTGGTCCTACAATGGATTCCTGGTCACTGTGGCACTAAAGGCAACGAGCTTGCTGACACAGTGGCTAAGAAGGGGACAACGATTTCGCAATGCATGGACCGGCCAATGTCTTTCCACACAATGAATGCCTTAATCAGGAGAGAATTTCATACCTCAAGGTATAACGAACTTAAAGCTCGAACAAAGGAGAAACAGTGGACAGTGGCACTCTTCGACATACCCGACTGGCCAAGAATCGAAGCCGTTGCTGAGTTTAGACTACGTACCGGACACGGTTGCTTGGCAAAACACCTTCACAGATTGGGAGTATACACTCAACCCACATGCCCCCTATGCAATCTACAGGAGGAAATGGAGAAGACCCACCTGATTCGGTGTCCAGCCCTAAAGACAAGGACGGAAAGCCAAAGATACTGGGAAGCAAGAAGTCAGCTAATGAATTACTATTAATTAACTGCTATAAATGTACTAACCCCCCACCCTTGGGGGAAGCTGCAGTAAATGATTAAGGGCTAATGATAAATATCATAAAGCCTGCCATTTGAAATAAATAAATAAATACCCACCCTATTATTTAGCCTTTCTAATTTGCTACTATTAGGGAGGTTAATATCAATTTCATAAATATATTTATTTGCCAATATGAAAGTGAGAGTTATAAAATTTGCCACAAGTGGATACTCAAATTTACGATCAACATAGGAAATAAATTTTGAAAATAAATAATTTTAATGGTAAGCCGGAATATAACTCAAAAAAATAATTAAAGTTTGATAATTAGAACTCACAGTAAAATATGGGGTTTTCAGATAACTCAGTTTATTCTCCTTATCTATTTTACAGACAATCTCTTCTCTAAATTTCTCTGCCCTTTCTGTTGGTGATTTTCAAATGCATTGAAATACAACTATCAGTAAAAATGATAATATATGTGCATATAGGTATGTATGTATTTATTTATTTATAGAAGTCATTCTCTGGTTAAAATTGTCAACGAGCACACATACATCAAATCAGAGGTTAGTGAAATATTGCACATTGGTACGTATACAGAGATGACCAACAACATTCGTTCATTCTGATCCAAGGGTGGAATGGTGAAATGTAAATTACCCATCGGAGCGACTTCGAGGTATTTTTGCAAGGCTCTTCGTAAAACCTCTGGACCTTCATTAGTAAGTCTCATATATATTTTTATTTGAAGGCGCTTGCGCTGTATATGTATCTGCATAACCTTTTATTTTAATTAATAGTAAAATAATGACAATAATGAAAAATAATCATTTCCACTTAAATTCTCTTATTTATTTCTTGTACCGTCCTGCATCGGTATTTCTACAGGATCTTCTTAATTTTTTTTCATTTCCGGTTTATTGTTTTGGAATTTAAAATATTCAAGGTGAATAAACATACATTCTTGCATTCTAACAAGCCAAATTATTATTCATCCTTAAATCGGCAATATTTCAATCATGCGTAAATATTGTCAGCAATTTCTCCAAAAATTGCAATAACTGATACGTAAAATCTGACGTTTTCAAGTTATTGTTGTACTTTGGCTGAATAAAATAGTGAAAAAAAGATTTCTTTCCCTTCTCATAATCGCGATAAAGGTCAAATGGACGTTATAAATGATTCCTTTATTCACAGCTTTTAATCGTGTGCTCTATAAAACTTGACTAAAATTAAAGCAAAAGGAAGTTATTTCGATTTGAAGTAATAGTGTTGTATGGAACTAAAATATTTTTATGAGGTGAATTCGGTGGCAATAAGGCTTGAAGTACATTGGCGTGATTAAAGAGCTGAAAAGTGCATTTCCCAGTGTTTTTTAAGTACAATGCTTTTAATTCTTTCTTTCTTTAAAATAAGATTCAATCAAGTTTTGCAGTACCTATGCCACATGCGATAAATCGGTTATTGAAACAGAGAATTTGTGCTCTCTATTACTAATTAAAATGCCCAAAGTATTTGGCTGTTAATCGAAAGCCTGGAATTACAGTAGCTTCATCCCCTGACCGATGAAACATCAAAATCAATGGACTTAAGGCCAGAAATCGAAATATAATTTGAATGCATAGGTCATTTATAACCTCTACCTAGAAAGAAAAGAAAAAATACCGGGGACATATTCTGTGTTTTAAATTTGCGAGAGCAATTGAAGCAAAAGCATATTTTTTAAAGAGTTTTCATAAGCGTGGAGCATAACATATCCCAGTCAAGAAAAGTTGGTTTAATTAAGGAGATTACATGCCAAACACAAAGGTGGTAAATAGATCGAAATTGTGTTTCGTCACATTAATTTACGCAGTGGTTCCCTTTAACCAATCAGATCTTAGAGCTATTGGGTAAATGAGAGTATTTCTATTTTAAAGTAATTCCACTTTAAATAAAATTGTTATTACTTTGGTAAGCCTAAAGGGTTGTCGATAAACGAAGTTAGAGAAACAAAACTTAAATCATAATCATCTTTCATGATTGTCTCTCCTACTTGAGCTCATAAAACCATACTCTTTAAGAAGTTATTCATTTTTTGTCCCTATAAGTTATATTGTAAATAATTCACCTTTTTTCTATTCACATAAATTTAGATAATTTGTATCTTATCGTTTAAGCTTGTAAATAAAGGTGATAAGGTTTTGTCTAACTTGCAGGATGGCTTACGAATTCTCCGAAATTTTCTTTGTGAAAACTCTCGACTTTTTTACCTGTCATGTCAAGGCGATTTTGTCCATTCCCCTGTTGTTATATAGTGCTACAGAAAACTCATAAACTGTCTTTGTGTGCATACTCACACGCGCACACACATCAGCACGCACTTGCCACTCTCGAATGACTATCGAACCTAGTAATGATTTATTCAATTCATCCTAATCTACCCAACTCTAAGTTCTACTTTTTTTGAATTGCTGTGTTGTTGTTGTTAGTTGCCAGTAAAAGGCGTATTTTCTTCAGTCTACTTGTTGTTCATTAGTTTCCATATTTTGCTAAATGAGCACAGTGGCGACCCTGTGTGAATCCACCCCTCTAATAATGAAATATTTAATGTGGTTTAATAAAAAGTACGATAATTTTAACTTCATTTTGATTTGATTTTTTTGAAATATTCAATTTGAAATACAAATTAAAAAGAATAAAGCCGTTGCAAAAGTATTTTTCTTTAAATAAATTTTGAACTCTAAAATCACACTGACTTCTTACAATGATGGCTCACAATTATATTGCAAGGAGACCGAATGAGGAACATTATCCCACGATTATCACCCTTATGTTTGTTCAGGAAGATGTTTACTTAGCTGCCGCACTTCCGTAGTTCAAGCAACTTCTCAATTAGAACAAGTTTGAGGATAATTAAACTATCGGATTCATCACCAAGTCCGCTGGTACAGAGTTCATCTTAAGCTAGTACTTTCCAGCACGTAGACCAACGTAGGCGAACAGAAAACTTTTGAGAAGATAGTTCCCGAGATATTCCCTACTGCAAACTTCACGCTGTATTTGATGAGAGCAGTTACTAATGGAAAGAACTTATTTGGGGCATTCTTGCTACGGTAAATCCATATTCAAATCAAACTTTCAGCCTATTTATTATCTAGCCACTCAATCTTTACCAAAAAGCATGTAAAAGCGTCCTTGTGGTTCGTAAAACTGCCTGGTAAACAACATTCATGCATGAATTCCAAGACAATCACATTTTGTCGTCATTGGGCAACGTGTCACCTCGTTGTGTTGAAATGAGCTACTAACTAACCATCGCTAGATGGACAACAGATGTCATTAGTAGTCAACGGATTGCAAACTTGTATACAATTAAGGCCTGGTATTGCCGATGCGCTTAAAAAAACCTGTTCCAATACTAACCCATTACTGTGTATATAAACATTTAAAAGGCCAGTGATTACTTAACGCAAAGCCGTAGCCAAAGACAAAATTAATTATTAAATCTAAGGAAACTAGATTCAGATGGTAATGTTATAGGTTGCTAACAAAGTGTCCCAAGTGGTTGCCATTTAAACCAACTTTTTTTCAATCAGCATTGAATATATTCAAGGACAGAAATAGCTACCATCTCTAAAAACAGTGGTATGGTTTAAATGCCGAGGTATTTAACTCTTAGTACATAGAGCACTTAACAATAGGGTATCGATTATCTGGTCATTTTTATCAAATTTGTTTAAATACTAGTAGTCTGATCAGTAACTTAGAGATTTCATCATTAGCCAACTTAAGCAAAAATCAATTTCTTATTTACAATGCTCATAAAGGAAGCATATAACCTTGTTAAAATGCTATCTTTCCTATTCGTAAAATCCTCCACCATGAGGGGAATCACTTCGGCCCGCTGTCAGAACCATGTAAGTTCTCACAAGCATGCTAGTATCTAGGCTTATTGATTTGGTAAAATGTGGTAAAGATGTTATGACCAATAATCAGAAGTAATCGATACAACAGTAAGATTAACATTTCGTGCAAATTAATGCTCTCAGAGCATGTGGCTATTGGGAAATTAGAGCGTGAATCAGAAAACTGGGTTTAATATGATTCCGCAAATCAACTGAAACAAGGCTCTTATAGAGTTTTCAATGCTACTACTCTATTTCTTCCTTAAATTCAAATTCTCACCAATGTTTATAAAGTGTAAGCTTTTGTCTTGCTGTATAAACTAAATAAATCTCTCAAGATGGTTTAGAAAAGCAGCTTGTGCAACAGTCATCTTGCAGAGAGTAGAGTGGCATCATGGAGTGGCTTGCTCAGAAACTCACACTCCGGTGCCTATTAATACCTAGACTTCACCATTCTAATAAGTGTGTTAAATCTAATTTGTTCTAAGAATCTAATTTCGTTAACTCACCTGACAAACGAAGAAGATGACAATGACACCGATTAACATGACATCAGTCTCGTGCCGCCTGGTCTTAACACCTTGTTCAAATCGCATTCTTTCAATGGAGCGATTAATTTCCCTGACAAGGAATATATTGAGAATGGCAATCACGAGGGATGGGAGGACAATAACGAAGATACACCAGGCCCAAAGATGATAGCCAAGCCGAAAGGAGTCCGATACGCCCATGTGCGATAGTCTGTACCAATGAGTAGGCACAGCGTCGCCAATTACTCGAGTGTTTGTGTAATATTCATACTCATAAAATCGGGGTAGGGTGTAACAGAAGCTGATGAAGAATATTGATACGATCACCATTTTACTCCTGCGTAGAGTACACCAGCGTTTAGCTATGAAAGGATGGCATATCATCAAATATCGATCCACCGTAAATGCTGCCGTCAACCAGTTGGAGCAAACCTAAAGTTCAAGCAATAAACCCAGAAGTGAGGCCAAAAGGTAATCTGCAATTTTAGGGTATTTATTATGGAGACGTCCTCAAGATGCTTAGCAGCACTAATTTCTACAACCCTTCCCCCCTTTGTAACCAGTCTGGTGGACCAATCGACAGGGTTGATCATTCCACTAACTGCTCGCGCATCACTGATCATAGAACTCATCTTCTTGAAATTCGCAGATAATTACCGAATTTAGATGATTCGATGTTTTCAATCCGTCTTCAATGTTCCTTTTAAATAATATCAATTATACGTTATCGTATATTTTAAGTGACAACTCAAGTATTTCTAATGATATCAAATCTTATTTAGGGCAAAGGCTTGCTAGCATATTTTCGCTAAAATTTAGTCTTAAAATTTGTCGGGATACTTTGAAAACTTGAAGCAATTTTGCCCCAATTTTGATGTGGTATTAAATTAGGCTAAATTATTATTGACAGTATTTTCATAAACACCTATTTTGGAACTGAAAAACATTCTTGCCAGCCCATAAGTACGTCTGAAATTTGATGCCATCAGAAAAACTAGTTCTAGCCCAACGAACAAAAAGAGAGCACCTATAATTTTGTAAATAAAGCTAAAGGCAACACATTAGAATTAATAAATGGTCATCTTTTAAGGGCAAAATTTAAAAAAAAATTATGAAATGTTAGCAGACACAAAAAGGTAAGCACTGAAACGTGCATATATATATATATATATATATATATATTGTTTAGAGGAAATTTTGAAATTCTTTAAAATTAAAAGAGGAAAATCGATTCATTTAAAAGAAAATAACCGAAATCACTTGATCAGAAAGAATAACATTCCATTCCAAGCAAATAAATAAATTTTTGCCTTAAAATCATTAAATGCTCAGTAAAGCAATTGTCGAACGTTGTATTACACGTATTATCTCATAATCATGCTGGACATTAAAAATTTTATTGACTAAGATTTGTCAGGATTAGTTTCCATATTTTTTTAAATATAATTAAAATAGAAATTTAACTGAATAAATACATTATTCCTTCTTATTTAGTTCTCAGGATCCCAGTAATCGTTATTTAAATTTTTAAAACAGATTCTTCACTTTTTTCTTTTTCCTGGTCTAATAACAAGTGAGAGATTTCGCTCTATTGAATATTATATTTTCAAATATATTTAGTAATTAAAGTAAGCTAAAACGAGACAATGTGTTTTCCATTGAAATTCAATTCTGATATTACCTAATTGCAAAGATCAGCCTCTATATTTGATGCGTCTCAAAAACGTTTATATTATAATGTTAAATGGTTAACGCGGGTTAACGCTGAATGCGAGTACCAGAATACGCCAGAAGTCACGAGATCGCTTTTTATCCATGCTAGACAAGCGATATGGTGATTCGGCTGCGCTGATTGATTCTGGTCAACAGAAAGGATAGTAAAATGTGGGTTTCCAATATGAAGAAACCATTTATAGATTCAATACTACAGTATTGTGAGCACTTCATTACGTTATAGCTATTCTTGAGGCAAGATTGCCAGTACTACAATTGCAGACCTTGAATTAGGAGTCTATTATTCAACTACTAACTGAATATTTAACTTATGATAGGCTTTTTCAATAAGATCATTAATTTTATAATTGGGTAATCACAAGACTTTGGTGCACTGAATGCTTAGCTAATTGGTGAAATCATCACTACACAGCTGGCTGAAGTATTTTAAAATTGGTAACCGTATATATGGTATGATATGAGATTTGTCGTTAGAATAAATATTACAGATGCCGTAATTTTCTACGGGGAGCATAAATAATCATTTCTTGGGTTATTAAACATAGAGTGAAAAATTGCGTAAATCATACTGGTGTCTGTAGTTTTAACGATTTCACATTCTATTTCATGTCTGTCACGTAAGTTTAATTGAAATTTTTGTTTAGGTACAATATGATTTGGAAAATTAACTTTCCTACGACAAAAAATGTACTCAGTTGATTAGGCATGAAAAATAGAACTATCTTTTAATGGAGAGTGTAAATCCTTATTCAGCAACACATTTTGTAGCAATTTTGTATTTCCTAAAGAGAGAAAAGCTTTGGTTATACATATATATATACATATATACATATACATATATATATATATATATATATATATATATATATATATAAAGCTGAAAGATTTTGCCCGATTAATTAAATTACAATTGTGGGAAATGAAAGTAAATGCATAACTAACACTGACTAACACTGAACTAAGTAGTTAGAAATAAAATATGATTCCCTCACTGTCATCAACTGATTCACATGTTCGATATAAACTCTCATTCTGACTTTGTCATCAGTCGCTTTTTTCTCAGCATAGCAAAAATTAATTTATATATTTCAAACAGAGGAATATTTGAACAAGTGAATTAGCGATATAATTGAAGATTGGACATTGAGGTGAAAATAATTTGATTATGAAATCATGATTCCAAACTTCCCACCTTATTTGAAACTATAAAGAAATGAATTATTCAATTTGCCCTCTTGTGCAAACTTCACTATACAATTGTATAATGCTCACAAGCGTACGCCTTCGATCTTGGGATGGGGGGGGGGGGGGGGGANGGGGGGAGGATAGGGGGGGGATAGGGGGAGGGGGGGAGGAATGAGTTAATATTACAAGGTATTCCCATTGCATTAATTGGTCGGTTGAATTAATTGGGCTGCTTGGAAATCCTATCCATTTGCTCTACTTGCAGTAAAAAAACACCGATGGGGCGGGTAAAACTGACGCAAACACAGCAGAACTAACTCTTTAAGTCCTCGGAAAATTGCTGGAACATTATTTTAGATAAGCCAAAGTGTTAATGTGCATTAACAAGAAATTTTTGACTTCTGTTTTGCTCTTGAAAAAAAAGTTATCAAAGGAAACAATTATTTTAATGGTAATGCAAACTGATGATTTCACTCAACCGATTACTTAACTTATTTCTTTTAAAAAGTGAACAAGCTTAAAGACTTACTATTTACCAACTGGGATTTAAGAACAAAAAGTATTTAGTCATCAAGCGATGTAAACAATACGAGATAAATAAAAAAATGTCCCTTCACTAAAATCCGACAATGCTGTCCGACAAATAAAGAAATCCAGGGTAATAAACAACATCCCCATTATCCCAAAATTTTAAAGTCGGCTCAAAGCAATCTCAGTATTGTCTTTTTATGCCAAAAAGCTAACGAACTTGCTAGAATCGCAACCTCCGAGTGGATTGTTACTATCATTTTAACTTTGAAAGGGCTATTTCTTATGCAAGTGCCTCTAGTGATCAATGCCAGCATCTGTTTTATCAGAGTTCGGCGTACCGATTTTCACATGTTTATGAGTAGGGAAAAAAAATGAAGGGAAAAACTCTATGAGCACTGTTTTCCATCACATATGATCGCTATCTCTGACTATCATCTGGATTGTGTTAACTTCAGTAAATTCTGGAGGATTAAATTAAACACTGTATGAGTCGTTGCCGACCCATATACCGTTTCATTAGATGCGGAGTAAAGTAGCTTAGCATCTTAGTTGTTTCATCAGAAGATAATAATATTGAAGGGATAAGTAATTGTAAATCTATTACTTTCACTCGGGACGTCATAAGTACTTCCATATATCAGTCTTCCTCTCCCCATTCTTTTGGCTTTCAAAGAAACTAAATTAGCGCATGATAAAGCCCCTTAAGATGACGTGTTAATATATCGATTAAAACCTTTTAAACAGCCTCATATCGATGTTCAAACTGTGGTTTGGAATAAACGCATACAGAAGAGGTATGTTCCAACGCATTACCTTTGTCTGACTTTGATTTACTCATTATAATTAGTTTATCTAACAGATTTGAGATATGGTGGATTATTACTTCACCATTTTCTACGGTATAGGCCGGAGCCTTTTTTCGGGAAGGAATTCTCATGATCAATTATTACTAAATATTCCTCTGGACACCGAATAAAAGCGAAAATTCCCGAAAGGTGAACATCAAAATACCGAATTATAGGACATTGAGCTTTATTCATTATGCAAATTGGAACATTCATCTTGAGTAAGTACAGTTTAAGGAGCTCACTTTAATCACACTTTTTGCCTACCTTATCTCCATGGAAGATCAATCGGTTTACCCAACCTCTGGAAGAAATAGCAAATTGAAGCGGAAGAGCACGCCCATTTTGACTAAACCAAAACACTAATAAGCATTTAATATTATAGATAGATATTTATTTGTTCTATTTTGATGAATTGAGAAATAAGAATTTCGGAGAGTAAACTACTATTTCGCCAATTTTGCCCAATTAAATAAATTTAAATACTATTCACTCAATTTTGTGAGTAGAGTTTTGTAAAAATCAATTGCATGTTATTTAATTCTCCTTTTTTATCATTTTCGTCTAACTTTGATTCAAAAACCCTCCGAACTTAGGGAAAAAGGAAAACGAAGAAATGTCATTTATTTTCTTTTTATTCTTAGAGCTTGTATTGTTGCAGTCAGAATTCAATTCTAACTTAATTGGTGGTGTTATATACTCAGGAATTAAATGTACTATTTAAAAAATGCAATAAACAACGAAAGTGGAGATTGCTTAATTTTGCTAGCTGTGTTGATGATTCCTTAATGTAGTATTATGAACAATTCTGAGTTTGAAAGTGATATAATGGTTCATCTAAGCTTACCACTTAGTTGATAGCTGCATTCACGTGGGATGTATCATCGACTATTTCAGCAGCACGCTGAACTGCTCATACACTCAAGTCAAGAGCTACATATGACCAGCTTACAAACCCGTTAAAATTAAAAATTGAGCTATCTCATCCTTGATGAATTAAGACCCAAACTGGTGAGAGATTCATGAAAGGCGATTTTGCCTTCCTTACCGATGTAGTAAGAAGAACGACCTTCATGATAAAAATCTATTCAACAGGTCGTGAATATTCTAGACAAG